GCAGTTTGAAACTACCAGCGGTTCCGCGGGAGAAAGATGAGGCGGTCTGCTCCCGTTAAGATTTACAGCCTCAGAAACCCTGTGTAGGGTCGCTATGAGTCAGAACCGACTCCATGGCACATAACCACAACAATATATACAGTGGTGATGTTCTGTGTCTATTCTTAGGAACAAAAGACAACATAAATCATATATATAGTTGTTGGTGTTGGTAAGTGCTCTTGAATCGATTCTGACCTATAGTGACCCCGTACAGCGTTTCCAAGGCTGTAAATCACAGGAGCAGAAAGCCTCATCTTTTTCCCATGGGACAGCTGGTAGTATCAAACTGCTGACCTTACGGTTCACAGCCTAATTTGTAACCACTACACTACCAGAGCTCCTTTATCTATTTATAGATCTAGATATAGATTAAATATAGATATAGATATAGAGTTTGCTCTGGTGTGGCGCTCGCTGTAGGATAAGCACTGGACCATGTTGAATGATTCTGTGGAGTAGACATGTGACTGTGGATCATGTGACAACTCATTTGTAAGTCAGCCATGGCTCTGCCTAGGAAATGATCCACGCCAGACAGGTTGATGTGAGCTGGGCACTGAAACAGCTCATGGAAGAGCCGAAACAGAAGTGTTGGGACATCGGCAAGCACAGTCTGGACTGATAGTCATAGGAAGGTTCAAGTTTCTTTTTAGAAATCGTTACTGGTGACATGACATAGATTCTTCACTGGAGAGAAAACAACCTCGATCACCAAACAAGAAAAAGTTCAAAACTCAACCATCCGCCTAAAACAAATTTTCAAAAGGGAATACAAAAACTTGTTGACAGATGGACAAAGTGTATTAAAAAAGCAAGGAGATTAGGTCAAAAAAATTATGTATTTATCTTTTCTAAAAGTTGACTGAGAGAAATTCTACATCCAGAGTGCAGGTGTGTGTGTGTGTGTGTGTGTGTGTGTGTAATTCCGTAGAATAAGCACTGGGTTACTAATGAAAAGGTGGATCATTTAAAGCCACCCGCTGCTATGCAGGAGAAAGATGAAGGTTTCTGCTCCTGAAGAGCTTTATAGCCACGGAAACCCTACAGAGGATCGCTCTGAGCTGGAACTCACCCAATGGCCCTGCAGAAGACAGATGAGGCTTTCTGCTCCCGTAAAGATTGACAGCCCCACAAACCCTGTACAGGGTCTCTATGACTTAGAACTGGCTCCATGGCACATAACTACCACTAGATATACATACACACACACATACACACACTTATATATATTGTTGTTGTTGTTGTTGTGTGCCGTGGAGTCGGTTCCAATTCATAGCGACCCTGTACAGGGTTTCCGAGGCTGTAAATCTTTATGGGAGCAGGAAGCCTCATCTTTCTCCCGCGGAACAGCTGGTAGTTTTGAACTGCTGACCTTGTGGTTCGCAGCCTGATTCTTAACCATTACGCTACCAGAGCTCCCTATACATACATATATATAAAGGTTTATCTGTTTGTTGTACTGTGATGACTTGTGTGTTGCTGTAAGCTATGCCACCAGCATTTTAAAAATCACTAGGGCCACCCATAGTGGACACGTTTCATGGCATTTCCAGGCCAAGAGGCCAAGACAACTAGGAAGAAGAGGAGGAGGAGCACCTCGGCACGGCCAGTCACAGGAAACTTCATGAGTAACGGTGGAACACTGCCTGATACGGCATCAGAGGACAAATCCCTCAGGTTGGAAGACACTCAGAATACACCTGGGGAAGGGCTGCCTCCTCAAAATACAGCTGCCCTTAAGGACAATGATGGAATTGTTGAAATAAATTCTACAGCCAGAATGTGGGTAACTTTTCACCCACCCTCGTGTATACCAGGCACTCAAAATGTGATTAGAGAAGAGCTACCTCCTCACAGGAGCTTCCACTTTAATGATACAGCAAAGCTTCCAGAACCTTCGTTTGAAGACGAGGCATTACTCAAAGTGAGGGAAAACAGTTGCAAACATCCATTAATAATCAGAACCAGGAATAGACAAAGTAAGGATCTAGGAAACTTGGAAGTCATCAAAAATGAAATGAACATATAAAGATCAAGTTCTATGCCTTAGTGAGCGAAATGGACCGGTAATGGCCATTTTGAATCTGACAGTCATATGATTTGCTCTGGCGTCACATTCATCATCAAAAGGAGCATTCAAGATCACTCTTGAAGTACAACGCTATCTGTAAGAAGATAATATTTATACACCTACAAGGAAAACCAGCTAATACCACTATTGCTGAAACTGACATACCAACCACTAAAGCCAGTGATGACAACATTAAAGAATTCTACCAACTTTGTCAGTCTGAAAGTGATCACACATGCAATCAAGATGCATTGATCATTACTGGGGACTGGAATGTGAAAGTTGGAAACAAAGAGGAAGGATTCTTGGAAAATGTGTCCTTGGTGAAAGATAGGGCACCGGAGATTGAATGATAGAATTTTGAAAGACCAATGACCTATTCATTGCAAATACCTTCTTCTAACAACATAAAATGTGACTGTACACACAGCGATGGGTCCTGAAATAGCTCACGGGAGAGCGTAAACAGATGGAATAAATAGAAATCAAGTTGTATCTATGGGGAAAGACGCTGGAGACCTCAATATCATCAGATGAAGCCAGGCCAGGGGCAGACTGGGGAAGGCCAGTAAGTGCTCATATTCAGGTTCAACTGAAGCTAATGAAACAAGTCCACGAGAGTCTAAATATGACTTTCAACATATCCTGCCTGAATTTAGAAACCAGCTGAAGAACAGATTTAATGTATTAGATGCTAATAACCAAAGACCATTAGTTGTGAAATGACATCAGGAACATCATACACGAAAAAAGCAAAAGGTCATTAAAAAGATGGAAAGGGGTAAAAAAAAGAGGGGGGGGAGCAAAGAGGATGTCAAAAGAGACTGTGGAACATACTATACTTTCCAGAGTGAAGAATCTAAAGCAAGTGTCAGAAATGAGGAGGTAAAAGAGCCAAACAGAATATATTAAATAGCAGCATGAGATGACAAAGTCAAGTATTAAAGTGAAATGGGCAAAGATCTGGAGTTAGAAAACCAAACAGGAAGAATGCATGTTGCTCCACATTTCTCAAGCTGAAAGAACTGAAGCAAAAATTGAAGCCTTGACTTACAATATGGAAGGATTCTATTGACAAAATATAGAGAGGAACAGGAAACATCAAAAGAAGGTAGAAGGAATACACAGAGTCACTAAACCAAAAGAACTGATCAAGGTTCAACCATTTCAAGAGGCCGCATATGATCAAGAACAGACGGTATTGAAGGAAGAAGTTAAAGCTGGACTGAAGGCACTTGCAAAGAACAAGGTTCCAGGATTTGATGGAATACAAAGTGAAATCTTTCAATAAACTGATACAATAACAGAGGCACTCACTCATCTTTGTAAAGAAATTTGGAAGAAAACTATCTGACCAACCAATTAAAAAGATTCATATTTTTGCCCATTCCAAAGAAAGGTGACCCAATAGAATACGGAAATCATTGAACAATATCATTAATATCACATGCAGGTAAACTTTTGCTGAAGATAATTCAAAAACAGTTTCAGCAGTACATCGACAGGAAGCTGCCAGAAATTCATATCAGATTCAGAGGAGGATGTGGAACTAGAGATATCATTGCTGACCTTAGATGGATCTTGGTTTAAAGCAGAGAACACCAGAAAGATGTTTACTTGTGCTTTATTGACTACTGAAAGGCATTTAACTGTATAAATCCTAACAAACTGTGTGGATCATTAAATAGATAGATAGATAGATAGATAGATAGATAGATAGATAGATAGATAGATAGATAGATAGATAGATAATAGATAGATGATAGATAGATAGATAGATAGATAGATGATAGATAGATAGATAGATGATTAGATGATAGATAGATAGATAGATGATAGATAGATAATAGATGATAGATAGATAGATGATAGATAGATAGATAGATAATAGATGATAGATGATAGATGATAATAGATAGATGATAGATAGATAGATGATAGATAGATAGATGATAGATAGATAGATAGATGATAGATAGATAGATAGATAGATAGATAGATAGATGATAGATAGATAGATGATAGATAGATAGATGATAGATAATAGATAGATAGATAGATAGATAGATAGATAGATGATAGATAGATAATAGATGATAGATAGATAGATGATAGATAGATAGATAATAGATGATAGATGATAATAGATAGATGATAGATAGATAGATGATTGATAGATGATAGATAGATAGATGATAGATAATAGATAGATAGATGATAGATGATAGATAGATGATAGATGATAGATAGATAGATGATAGATGATAGATGATAGATAGATAGATAGATAGATAGATAGATAGATAGATAGATGATAGATGATAATAGATGATAGATGATAATAGATAATAGATGATAGATGATAATAGATAATAGATGATAGATGATAATAGATAGATGATAATATTGCACAGAACAGATACTCTAGAACACTTCATTGTGCTCATACGGATTCTGTACATTGGCCAAGAGGCAGTCATTCAAACAGAACAAGAGGATACTGAATGGTTTTTAAATCGGTAAAGATATGTACCAGAGTTATAGCCTTTCGCCATACTTTTTCCATCTGTGTGCTGAGCAAATAATAGAAGAGGCTGGATTATATGAAAAAGCACATGGCATCAGGGTTGGAAGAAGACTCATTAACAACCTGCGATATGCAGATGAAACTACTTTATTGCTGCAAGTGAAGAGGACTTGAAATACTTACTGATGGATATCAAAGACTGCTCCTCAATGTCAGATAAATGAAAATCCTCACAGCTGGATCAATAAATAACATCATTATAAACAGAGTCCTGGTGTGGTGCTGCAGGTCAATGTGCTGGATTTCAAGGTAGGTTTGAACCACAAAGTCGGTGGTTCAAGCTCACCATCTGCTCCTCAGAAATCCTATACATGGTCGCTATGACTCAGAACCGACTTCACAACACTTAACCATAACATACAGAGAAAAGACCAAAGTGGTCAGAGACTTCATTTTACTTCATTTTACTTGGATTCACAATCAACACTCATGGAAGCAGCAGTCAAGAAACCAAAAGACAAATCTGCTACAAAAGAACTCTTTAAAGTGTGAAAGAGGAAATATGTTACTTTTAGAAGCAAGTTAAGCCTGACCTAAGCCATGATATTTTCAATCTCCTGAGCATGGGAAAGTTGGACAATGAATAAGGAAGAGGCAGAAGAATGACGTGTTTCAAGTATGGATTTGGAGACGATTCTGGAAAGCTGTGACTGTCAGCAGAAGGAACAAATCTGTCTTGGAAAAAGTACAGCCAGAAGGCTTCTTAGAGGTGAGGAGAGCAAGACTTCATCTTTAGTTCTTTGGACATGTTGTCCCTGGAGAAAGACATCATGCTTGGTGAGGTGAAGGGTCAGTGAATAAGAGGAAGACCCCCAACAAGATGGACCGGCACAGTGGCAGGACCAATGGACCCAAGTGTGCCAACTGTGAGGATGGCACCGGATCTGCAGTGTGTGGGGTTGGTACAAGTCAGGACCCACCCAACAGCATCTAACAACAACGACAATAAAGGTTTTATGTATTCGACTCCTGGTGTGGCGCTGTATGATCAGCACTGGGCTGAAAACCACAAGATCAGCAGTTGAAACCCACCAGCTGCTCCTCAGAAACGCTATACAGGGTCGCTAGGAGTCAGAACAACTCGAAGGTACTTTGGGGATTATGAGCTAAGCTGCTAACGGCGAGGTCAGCAGTACGAATCTACCAGCTGCTCCACGGCAGAAAGATGAAGCTTTCTCCTCCCGTAAAGATGCACAGCCTCGGAAACCCTGTGCAGGGTCGCTATGAGTCAGAACCAACTCCACAGCACAGAACCCCAGCAGCTGCATGGATGGAAAGAGGGGTGCTTCATCCCAGGGGACCACTCACACAGCACACAGCCTGTGCAGAAACCAACATCAGCAGCTACCTTTACACACCAGCTCCAGGTACACCATCCTCAGGAGTAGGGTAGAGAGCTGACATCTATACTGATCCTGGGTCAGGAGACACTCCCAGGACGCCGCCTGCCTGCTTCCCTGAAAGCTGCCACAGGCTGTCTGGTATGGGTCTCAGTCATGTGTGGTCCGAAGAAATGCAATGGACACATTTTGCTCCTTCCATGGTATGAAATCATTTCCCCTGCAGGTTAAAGCACCCAGCTTCCCCAGACACATGAGCCATGCCAGCCTGCAGTGCCAGGGCAGGTCCACTGGGACCTCACAGCACCAAGGCCCTCACAACCAGAGTGCAGATTCAGCCCACGGTAAATGGAGGGGGTCGGCCGCAGGGGTTCCACTGAGGAAGGGGGGACTCTGTGCCCATCAGGGGCTGCGAGTGAACCAGGCTGCAGGGCACGGAGGTGGGCACGAGGCCTGCAAATCCAGTCCCTCAAGCACTGCGGTTCTCCAGATCTTTATGTTTTCATTATTTATAGTCCTTCTGCGGGGAGTACCCCAATGGAAAAGTTTGGCGGCTTTCCTCCTACACAGAAAAAGTTTGGGTTGGCTTTCTGGGAAATCGAGTGGGAGGGAAAGTAAGAGCTGCTTAAGGCGAGAGAGGGAAAAAGCCTCCTTGGCGCACATGGCATGGGAGGGAAGATCTCTTGCCATTAGAAACAAACACCCCCGGTCCCAGAAGGAAGGCAACCCACCAGGTTTTCCTCCACCTCTTCCCTCCCCAAACTTCCCCAACCTAACCTACCCCGCAGCCACATGGGCAGTGCCCAGGGCCTTCGGGGACATCAACAAGCTCGGCCATGGTCTGCGCCCATTGGAGAAGAGGGCCTTGCTCAGCTGGTGTTGGGAGGCAGACCAGGATTTCCAGATGTGAAATGCTAACAGGCTTTAACGGCCTAAACTGAACAGGAAATAGTTTCCTAAAGCCCAAAGAATGTAACCTCTTCAGTACAATGTAAAATGCCTTTATGAAACACGCAAACAGTTGAAATCATAACTCACTGCATACTGTTAAGAAACCGAAATTCCCAAACTAGCTACGAATTTAAGAATTCCCTTTAAGCATGTGTTTATATTGTCACTCTTAACACAAAAAAACAGTGGCACATTTTAAAGCATTCTTCTAGGAAAAAGTGTTAAGTTATTCAAGATCTTTGTATAAAAGCTCCAGTTCTTAGGGCTGCATGTAGCTCTTTACCCAGAAGGCATCAGCCAGAGTCTGTCAAGACCTGAGGTCGGGGGCGTTCCAGTTGTTCATCTGTGAAGAGCAGTGCCACATAATGATGTCCTTGAGAGGGTTAGCATCGCTCTGCACTTAATCCTTGATTCAGTATCATTGGCAGAATAGTCTCTCTAGATGAATCACCATAAACATTGGGGAAATTCTTTCATTTAAGCTAAGTTCTATCTTATTCTCAAATGGAACTATTATTATTAGAAACTTTCATGAAGATCTTTAAATTTTTACTAGACTTGTTCTTAAGACTGATCTTAACTGAAAACATCTATCTGGCAGTAACGATACAGCACTGAAGTTGTTAAGTCCCTGAAAAGGGAGGATATAACCACTGGATGTTTTAGTAATGTGTGTGGTCATTAAGTCTGTCAGCTTGTCGTACTGTGGTGGCTTGTGAGATGCTGTGATTCTGGAAGTTATGCCATGGGTATTTTAAATACCAGACGGGTCACCCATGGTGGACAGGATTCAGCTGAGCTTCCAAAGACAGACTAGGAAGGAGGAGAGATGGACCATTTCTGAATATTTAATCACTGAAAACCTTATGAATAGCAGTGGAGCACCGTCAGCACCAGAATACTGAATATTGAAACATGACAAAGACCACCACAATATTGTCAGATATAGAGCCAGAATGTGAGCCCCTCAGGGTGGAAGGCACTCACAGTGTTACTGGGGAAGAGCTGTCACCTCAAAGTAGAGTGGACCACGATGCCATGAATGGATTAAAGGCCTCAGGACCTTCATATGCTGATGGGGTTCAACTCAAAATGAAGAGAAACAACTGTAACAGCCATGAACAATCAGAACATGGGATCTACAAAGGATGAATCTAGGAAAATTGGAAATTGTCAAAATGAAATGGAAGGCATAAACGTAGATATCATAGGTCTTGCTGTCGTTGCTGTTGTTAAGTGTGGTCAAATCAGTTCCAACTCAGAGAAATCCTGTATAGGGTTTCCAAGGAGCAGCTGGTGAGCTTGAACCGCTGACCTTGCAGTTCAAATTGATCTTGCAGTCCAGCACATTATCTCACAGTGCCAAAGCAGGACTCCAACCTAGGGTTAGTGAGCTGAAATGCACTGGTAGTGACTCCATCCTAGGTGTTAGTGAGCTGAAATGAACTGGTAGTGGTCATTTGAATCACACAATCACAAGGCTTACCATGCCAGGGATGTAAAACTGAAGAGGAATGATAATCACATTCATCATCACAAAGAATATACCAAGATCCGTCATGAAGTTCAACGCTATCTGTAATTGGATAATATCGATATACCTACAAGGAAGAGCAGTTAATATCACTATTATTCAAATTTACATACCAAACACTAAAGCCAGTGATGATAAAACTGAAGAATTCTACCAACTTCTTCAGACTTAAATTGATCAAAGATGCAACCAAGATGTATAAATAATTATTGGCAACTGGAATGCAAATGTTGGAAACAAAGAGGAAGGATCAGTAGTTGGAAAATATGGCCTTAGTAATAGAAACAATGCTGGAGATCGCATAATAGAATTTTGAAAGACCAATGACTTCTTCATTATAAAAATACCTTTTTTAAACAACATAAAAGACAATTATATACATGGACATCACCAGATGGGATACACAAAAATCAAATTGACTACATCAGTGGAAAGAGACATTGGAAAGGTCCATATCATCAGTCAAAACAAGACCAGCCAGGGCAGACTCGGGAACAGACCATCAACTGCTCATATGTAAATTCAGGCTGAAGCTGAAGAAAATGAAAACAAGTCCATGAAAGCCAAAATATGACCTTGAATATATCCCACCTGAATTTAGAGATTTGATACATTACACATTTGATACATTAGATACTAAAGAAAGAAGACCAGAAAAATGGTGGGATGACATCAAGAACACTGCAGGAAGAAAGCAAAAGGTCATTAAGAAGACAAGAAAGAAGGAAAAGACCAAAATGGATGTCAAAAGAGACTCTGAAACTTGCTTTCCACTGTAGCTTAAGACAACAAAGCCAAATATTATAACAAAATATGCAAAGACCCGGAGTTAGAAAACTGAAAGGGAATAACACACTCAGCATTTCTCTAGCTGAGAGACCTTAAGAAAATATCCAAACCTCAACTTGTAGTACAGAAGGATTCTGTGGCCAAAATACTGAATGATGCAGAAAACATCAAAAGAAGATGGAAGGGATACACAGAGTCACTGAACCAAAAAGATATGGTTGATGGTCAACCATTTCAAGAGGGAGCATATGATCAAGGTCAATGATACTGAAAGAATAAGATTAATGTGCATTGTAGGCATTGGCATAGAAAAAGCACTGGGAACTGATGAAATGCAAATTGAAATCTTTCAACAAACTGAGGAGGCACTGGAGGCATCCCACATTTATGTCAAGAAATTACAAAGACAACTACCTAGCCAATTGGCTGGAAGATACCTGCAGTTCTATCCATTCTAAAGAGAGGTGACCCAATAGAATGTGGAAATCATTGGACAATATCATTGATAGCTCATGCAAGTAAAGTTTTACTAAAGAGGATACAAAAATAGCTGAAACCATACATTGACAGAGAACTTCCAAATCTTCAAGCTGGATTCCGAAGAGGACATGGAAACAGGGAGATCATTGCTGAAATCAGTTGGATCTTGGCTGAAAGCAGAGAATACCAGAATGATACTTACCTGTGCTTTATTGACTAAGCAAAGGCTTTCGATTATCTGGATCATGACAAGATATAGACAACATTGCAGAGAATGAGTATTCTGGAACACTTGATTGTGTTCATGAGGACCTGTACATAGACCAAGAGGCAGGTGTTCAAACAAAAGAAGGGAACACCGAATGTTTAAAATTAAGAAAGGTGTGCACCAGGCTTGTGTGTTCTTTCACCATATTTGTTCAATCTGTATGCTGAGAAAATAATCCGAGAAGATGGATTATAGGAAGAAGAATGTGTCATCAGAACTGAAGGAAGACTCATGAACAACCTGTGATATGCTTGCATAGGACCCTAGTGGAATCCTGAGCCCCATCCAGGATTTCCCTTTCGAAGGTGGGGCATTTCCAGGGGAAAGGACAAGCAGACCAGCCTGGAGCAGCTAGAGGAACGGAAGATACTTCTTGAAAGAAAGACCAACAGGAAAAATCAAAAACAAAAATGGCAGTCTGAATGGCTACTACAAGGACAAGCAAGTTTATGGGAGAGCCATCAAGGCAAGCAATCAAGTCCCTTCAGGACAAACCCTCCTCTAAGACTGAAACTCAAAGGAAACACATGAGCAGGCATGTAAACTTGCTTGGTGACCACATTGGTCTGCTGGTGAGTGAAAGAGGGGGAAAGGCAGCAATCAAGAAATGGGCTGAGTTCGACCATGTTCCACAGACTCCCGTTGATCTGGAGATGAGAAAGAGAAGAGGAAGGACTGGTTGGCTTGAAGTGTGGTGAGACCTGGGGTCTCCTGAGCCCATGGACAAGGACATAGTCATGGAGGGCTAGAGCTGAGAGTGAAGCATCCAGCTGATATGAAGTGGAGAGAGATGCACAAGAACACCCAAACTTGCAAATAGTATCCATTTGACCTAGCTTCAATGACTTGAAGATCACAACTCGACTAAAAGAAGATAAAGAAATTTGATAAAGGAAACAAGTGTAAATTGCTATAATTAGATGAACTTGACCTATACTTATGGATGCAGTAACTCTAAATACCAACTGAGAGGGAACAAGTCTTCATCCTACCTTCTCTGTACCCAGGGTTGATAGGGACAGGCAACTTAGACAGCGACTACCTAAATTGGGGGGAAGGGGGGGCTAAAACGGCATAAAGTGACTGACTTACAAGGTTTTAAGAGGGAGTTTAGTTTCAGAGTATGCAGGGGAAGGTAAGACTCCCCACTTAATAGTTTTCATCTTGTCTAGACAAGTCTGAGGAAAGGAGATGGGAATAAGATTCTTATGATTCAATAGTGAGTAATTGTTATCATGACTAATTGCAATTGTCACAACTGTAAAGGTAGAAGTTTTGTAACATAATTGGGGGAGTAGTTAATCTTCCATTCTAGAAACAGAGGACCCTAGGACCATCAAGGGAGATGAGCACAAGCGGAATGTGGAACCCTATCCAGAGAAGCAGAAACACCAGAGATGGAGGCAGAGATGAGGACATGGAGAGAGAGAGCAGCTGAGGACTCTAGACCCATGGAAAGAGACAGGCTGTGTACTGGTGGTCAGGAGGCAGGCTTACAAAATGTGACCTTTGTTTGTTTAAATGATTATATATTCCTGAATGCTTGTGTGTACAGCCCCCACTGCCCACCCCCCACCACAAAAGCCCAGAGGAAATAGAATCAAATACTGTTGAATGATGATGCATGGAGGAGATTATATTCATTGCAATGAAACAATGAGTGTAAACCCATATTCTCCCATATAAACTACCAGTCAATTCACAATAAAAAAGCAAACAAACAAAAAAGAGTAGTTATCTCCTGTTCAGTTTGAGTTATTTTGCTCTCCCTTTTTAAATTTTCCATGTAAGTATTTTTTCTTCATAAATCAATTTT